CCCACATACATACAAATTTACTAGTATATGCTGCAATGATATCCAAGCAGTCTGTTGACATGCATCTTGGGGGGGGGGGGTAAACTTTAAAATCCTATATTGACAAGTTAACATTGAATATGATAGTTTGATAGATGAGACAGTAGTCAGATTTGTAAAGACTGTCCAAGTTAGTGGACCAGTGTAGAACACAATGATTTATTTTGTTTGGTAGTCTGCTGTGTACCCAAGTGTGACATAAGGAAACATATGCTCCTGAAAAGAAAGGAATCACCCAATAAATCTCATAGGGCATGCTGGGAAGGGAAATGAATTAGCATCTTGTTATTTTAAAAAAATGAAAAAATAAATTATTTATCATCAACATATCAGGTTACTCACTGAAGAAGAGAAGTTAGGTGAACTAGGAGTTCACTTTTCAGGTTTCTAATTTATTTGCATGATTAATGTTACTTAACATTATAAACACACATCACTTAAACTATCCTTAAAAGGCATCCAATAGTAGTTTTTGAGTTGTGACTGAATCAAATTAGAACATTCTGATTTGCATCTAATAATATCAAATTCTGACACTTTTGTAAGGTACAGCAAAATATGCATACCACGATAGTACTGGTTTTCTTTTACTACTCAGACTTTGTCAAATTTACCAACTGCTTTATAATTTCTTTGGCTGTTATTGGCTAGAATTATATACACAAATTCCATCATTCTCCCAATTTAACCAATATCTACACTGAAAATTTGATATGCCAACAATATAGCAATAAATACAAAAATAAAGTACAACAACAGAATGACCAGCTAGTAGGAATACAATGCACATACAAATGACCAATCATAGAACTATTACTATGTGCTTGTGTTGGGTATTTTACATACACATGTGCCATTCATTGAATCAGTTATGCTTTGTGGGTTGTCTTACAAGATATTCCATATAAAGTCAATATATACATTATGATCTGATATTTTCAGATAACTTCAACTATAATTGAAACTTGTTTTAATCTGTGGATATATTTGCCAAAAATGAAATAAACCAATCACAATCACTTTTTATTTGAATATATTGTAATATCTAATAACTGTTTATATGAAAGAGGATGTGTTGTGTAGATGGATTTACCATATCAACAATGAAATCAATAATCCCAATCACTGGAAACTCTAACTGACTTCATCCGAGTCAACTCTAAACGCTAACAGGTAACTGCCACTATTAAAAAGGCAGTTTTATTTTTATAACTTTGGACCTCAGTGGGTGTTGTGCTTCTATCTAGAACATCAATGCCAGACTAAAATGCATACTATAAAGAAACTATAGTGATGATGAAAACATTATTATGTTCATTTCTCATGTCAAACATAATCAATGTTTTCTATATTTATCTGAATAGACATTGTGATATATGTACAATTAATTTGTCAGCTATTCCACAACACACCATACACTATAATACTGTATAAATTATCAACAATCATGTTTTCATTGATTGCTTAAATATAAAGACAATATCAAACATTTTGAAAGTTTTCTGCAGTAAAACTAAAGCATGCAAATCAATAATCTGCTATTAAATAAGACTTTACTTAAATCTATGTTTTAACTATTAGTCTATATGTACAAGGCAGACATATTGCATACACTGAACATTCACATATCATGTGATAACCATGCATTAAGCATTCACTGAACACTCAACTATCATTTAATTAATTATGTTCACTCACTAATCAACCATGTGGTAAGCATGCCTTAAGCATTCACTTAACACTTATCTATCATGTGATAGCATGCAATGTTCACTCACTAAGTTACCACATGGTCAGCATGCATTATTGATTTATTGACATCTTACCTGACATAGATATCATCATTTCTGTCAAGTAGTGGATATTCTTGTCCATGACTGTCTTTAGCTATGCTGTGAAATACCACCTGCTTGCCGTCCTCACCACTAGTTAATCTTCTACCATCCTCACCACTAGTTAATCTTCTACTCTTCCTTGATTTGGGTTTCATCACACTCTCTGGTACTTTAGCTCCAGCTCCAGTATAGACAAAATTTGGACTTGGGCTGGTACCTATATGAATAACAAAAATAACCCACTATGAGTGAAGTGAACACCAAATCGGAACCAAATCAGCCATGGCATGTCTACGAAATAGTTTATGACATGTTAAAATGTTATTTCCATGAAGACAAAAACACAGCTGTTGGTCAAAGTTGCATATAAATAGCAATTATGTTTTACATTTGTACCAACATGTCTCAGCATTTCTATGAAATAATGATGCATGGACACATAAATAAACAGAACCCAAAACATAAGTCACCATGTGAGGTGGTGGTCAGTATAATAATCAATAACTTAATCAATGTCTGCTACTTACTTCTTCTACCATCGTATTCCTCTTGTTCTAGCCTCCTCTGTTCTCTGTTTACAGCCGCTTCTCTCAGTAAATCTCCCATATGAGCAAGTAGTTTTCTTCTTGCATTATATGTATCACGTTCAGAGTGCGTTAAGGCATGGTATGGCATGTGAGCTATACGACGATCCTGAAAGAATTATATCACGATTAAAATAGATTAATAACTGGATTTGTTTCAATTTCAAGTATAATATTGAGTTTGTTTCAATGATACTTTTCCTAATTGTTTGTAACTAAAGTTTTTGTAACTAAGCTGCAGGTAGAACCAGGCTAAATATTCATATTTATTTGTATCAAATTTTATCTTATATTGAACATGAAATCTCTAACAGACAGACAGACACAAACAGTGAAATACACTCAGACAAACAGCATCCATAAACTGTGGAAAAAATACAAATGTATGAGGAGCGTTCAATAAGTAATGCCCATGACCCACTTCCAGTTCTCTCATCTAGATAAAATTTTGCATGTGTAATGATTTACATCTCTATGGGTTATGTTGCAAAAACAGCTCTGAACTAATTGTGGTTTCTGATTTAAAGGTGTTTGAACTGAGTCAGGTGTGAAATGGAGCCAGTTGAGTGCCGCGCAGTGATCCGTTTTTTGAAAGGACGTACACCAAAGGAGACTATTGATGAAATGAAAGAAACTTATGGTGATGATGCCCCATCATATGACCTTGTAAAACGCTGGCATTGTGAATTCAACATGGCCAGAAGTCTGTGGAAACAGCTCCCAGACCTGATCGTCCTTCTTCTGCCATTGATGAGGCATCTGTCTGTCAAGTTGAGGTAGCTATTTTAGAAGATCGACGTATTACTGTTCGCCAAATAGCCCAAGAGGTCAAGATTAGTACAGGGTCTGTGGAAACTATCATTCATGACCATTTGCATATGCATAAGGTGTCTGCCAGATGGATTCCCAGGTTGCTCACACCTTTCCAGAAGCAAGAACGCGCTGAGTGCTCGAGGATGAATTTGGAGATGTGCCAAGAAGATGAGTCAAAGTTTTCAAAAGACTGATTACACAGGATGAAACTTGGGTCCATCACTATGATCCAGAGACCAAAGCCCAGTCAATGCAGTGGAAGCACTTGGACTCACCACCTCCAAAGAAGGCAAGGGTGCAGCCCTCTGCTGGAAAGGTCATGCTCACAGTCTTCTGGGACCAGGACGGAGTAGTGATGACATATTTCCTGGCAAAGGGTACCACAATTACAGAAGCCTATTACGCTTCACTTTTGATAAAATTAAGAGAAGCTAACAAAATCAAGAGGCGGGGCAAGATCAGCAAAGGTATCCTCCTCCTGCAGGACAACGCTTCGGTCCACAACTCGCATGTCGCAAGATCAGAAGCACGGGTGTGTGGCTATGAAATCCTCCCCCGTCCCCCTTACTCTCCTGACCTTGCACCCTCTGACTTTCATCTCTTCCCAGCCATGAAGTTGTTTTTGAAAGGAAAGCGTTTCTTAGATGATGTAGCTTTGATTTCTGAAGTTACAACGTGGTTGGAGGACCAACCTGGGGTGTTTTACAAAAACAGTGTCTAGAGCTGCATCAAACGAGGGGAGAAATGCAAAACTCTGGTTGGTTCCTATGTAGAGAAAGACTAATAACTGTGCCAAGTTTTATTAATCTCCTGCTATGGGAAATGGATCAGGGGCATTACTTATTGAACGCCCCTCGTAGTGCCCTCATTAACTGTAAATAAAGAGCAAAGACACTAAAAATCAATACTGGATAATGTCATTGAGAACCAAATCATGCAATGATGGAATTGCATTTGAATGATTAATGTAATAGAAAATGATTGAGTACTAAGTAATGACTGAAGATGTCTGGTGAGTCAAGGAAACTAGTACACATGTTCAAACAAAAAGATTACTGTGTTCATACAACCCTGATAACTGTAATCATACAGCATGTATGTAATCAATACATTGTAATTATACAGTATGTAACCAATACATTGCAATGGTACAACATGTAACCAATACATTGTGATGATACAATATGTAATTAATATATTGTAATGATACAGTATATAACCAATACATTGCAATGGCACAATATGTAACTAGTATATTGTGATGATACAGTATGTAACCAATACATTGCAATGGTACAACATGTAACCAATATATTGTGATGGTACAGTTATGTAACTAATATATTGTAATAATACAGTATGTAATCAGGACATTGTAATGATACAGTATATAACCAATACACTGCAATGGTACAATGTGTAACCAATATATTGTGATGATACAATATGTAACTAATATATTGTAATAATACAGTATGTAACCAATACATTGCAATGGTACAACATGTAACCAATACATTGTGATGGTACAGTATGTAACTAATATATTGTGATGGTACAACATGTAACCAGGACATTGTAATGATACAGTATATAACCAATATATACACTGCAATGATACAACATGTAACCAATATATTGTAATGATACATTATGTAACCAATACACTGCAATGGTACAATATGTAACCAATATATTGTGATGATACAATATGTAACTAATATATTGTAATGATACAGTATATAACCAATACACTGCAATGGTACAATGTGTAACCAATATATTGTGATGATACAATATGTAACTAATATATTGTAATGATACAGTATATAACCAATACATTACAATGACACAATATGTAACCAATATATTGTAATGATACAGTGTGTAACTAATATATTGTAATGATACAGTATGTAACCAATACATTGCAATGGTGCAATATGTAACTAATATATTGTAATGATACAGTATGTAACAATACATTGTAATGATACAGTATATAACCATTACATTGCAATAGCACAGTATGTAACTAATACATTGTAATGATACAGTATGTAACCAGGACATTGTAATGATATAGTATGTAACCAATACATTGCAATGGTACAACATGTAACCAATATATTGTGATGATACAGTATGTAACCAGGACATTGTAATGATGCAGTATGTAACAATATATTGCAATGGTACAATATGTAACCAATATATTGTTATGATTCAGTATTTAACCAGGACATTGTAATGATACAGTAAGTAACCAATACATTGCAATGGTACAATATGTAACCAATATATTGTAATGATACAATATGTAACTAATATATTGTAATGATACAGTATATAACCAATACATTGCAATGGCACAATATGTAACCAATATATTGTAATGATACAGTATGTAACTAATATATTGTAATGATACAGTATATAACCAATACATTTCAATGGTACAATATATAACCAATATATAGTGATGATACAGTATGTAACCAGGACATTGTAATGGTACAACATGTAACCAATACATTGCAATGACACAATATGTAACCAATATATTGTAATGATACAATATGTAACTAATATATTGTAATGATACAGTATATAACCAATACATTACAATGGCACAATATGTAACCAATATATTGTAATGATACAGTATGTAACTAATATATTGTAATGATACAGTATATAACCAATACATTACAATGGCACAATATGTAACCAATATATTGTAATGATACAGTATGTAACTAATATATTGTAATGATACAGTATATAACCAATACATTACAATGACACAATATGTAACCAATATATTGTAATGATACAGTGTGTAACTAATATATTGTAATGATACAGTATGTAACCAATACATTGCAATGGTGCAATATGTAACCTATATATTGTAATGATACAGTATGTAATACATTGTAATGATACAGTATATAACCATTACATTGCAATAGCACAGTATGTAACTAATACATTGTAATGATACAGTATGTAACCAATACATTGTAATGATACAGTATGTAACCAATACATTGTAATGACACAGTATGTAACTAATTCATTGTAATGATATGTATGTAACCAATACATTGTAATGATACAGTATGTATGTAACCAATACATTGTAATGATACATTATGCATGTAACCAATACATTGTAATGATACAGTATGTATGTAACCAATACATTGTAATGATACAGTATGTATGTAACCAATCTAGTATAATAATCACACATAATTAATACAATTTGTTGAATGCATGCAATGTAGGAAAAATAAATGTATATAAGGATATCTCTCCTTAAAGTAACGTTTTACAATTGATTGTGTAAACTGATAAAATGTTGATACCATTATGTAATAAAATGACAAAGCTGCATACTGATAATGTTGACAATTCACAAGAAATGGTACAAGTATCAGTAGCATGAAAGATACCCAGATGTTGGCAATTGTTGGACAGTAAGTAAATCAGACATGTTAGTTTGTATGATATTGTAGAGACATCCTAAATACAAGGGATAAGGGCAATATATAACAACAATAACAACTGTACCCTTTTTTCTTTTATTATGATCTGTCAGTTAAACATGAAATACAATACACACAATTATTATATATGCAAATGTAGAAAAATGCAGTAGCATCATCATAACTGAACTTTACCAACTAAATTTACAATACTGCTCTAATTACAGATATACTGATTTGACAGAAAAGTACATATACATGTATAGCTTTGAATTATAGTTATTAAAGGCTGTATGCAGTTATGATGACACTGTCTCTTTAAAGTTGATTGTAACAAACACACTAATCAACATAAGCACGTAAATGCATGCAGAATGCTGAACAGAGAATGGAGGTCAAGACAGAATCAATTTCCCCAATTGAATTCTTTAGATATGAACATGTTATAAACAGACAGCAAGTTGGTCACATGACCTACCAAGTTTCCAAGTTATTGCATTATAAACTACACATCTATACAAGCATAAAGTGTCCCCACATAATTTCTATTCATCCCCATTATATGAACTTATATATGTATCGTACTGAACCAGACTAAACAGACATGCATCATTCATATCAAAACCAGAAAACATTAGATCATGCAGCAATCAGCGTAAATGCATTTAAGAACAGTCTTACCTGGTTAAACATCCAATAAGCATAATCTACCGCAGTACCCAGTGATCGTTTACTTCCCACTGCAATTGGTGCAAGAATATTAGCACCAGCTTCTATTAATTTGTCAATCTGTAATATAAATATTTTAGTAATGATATTTCTGTGACCCCTGACTGACACTTCAATGACGCGTTAATTGTTCAATATAGTCAAACCTCATTCTTCATACACTGTCAAAATTATAACAATATATATAATTAAAAAAATAGAAATTTTTATTTGACAACGATGAGATTGGAAGGTCTGAGTAGAAAACACTGCAAGAAGGAACAGCCTCAAAAGAAAAAACAGGTTCCCTTTTTTCAGATGCAAACCCTTTCTTACTACTTATTCACATACTTAGGTTTACTAATCAATTCTCACCAGTGCTATTCTTTGTTCTGGTGTTCTTCTATGTTCAAATGCTGTATTGGATGAGGCACACAAAGCACTACCAACACCATGACCTAATGGTAGACTAGGATTGGCTCCATGACATAACAATTCATCTATTGCCTGTAACAAATATTGAAAATGTTATTACCAAAGTCATTTGTTATTTAGCAGTCATTTGTCATTATCAAAGTCATTTGTTATTTAGCAGTCATTTGTCATTCACCATGGACATTTACGAAGTAATTTGTCATAAAACCAAATAACATTAACCAAAGTAATTTTTCATTTCATCATGTATTACTTACCAAATCATTTCCACTTCCAATAGCCAAAGACAATGGAGACTGTCCTTTGCACAGTACATTGGGATTAGCCCCATGTTCTAGTAGTAATCTAACCACTTGTTGGGCAAGCTGAAAATATTGCAAAATATGATAATCATTGAGTGATATTATGTCCTAGACCAGTGTTCTTTCTAACACCTTTTCTGAGGCACCTAAGTTTCCCAGTGAAATTTAAATCCCAATTCTTTTTAACTCCAGCCATTATTCATATACACCTGAAATCAAGTTTTTTTTGAGAAATCATAATGTTTCTTCTGCATTTTTTAAGGGGGGAGCACTGCATCACTAAAGTCATCCACATTTGTATCATCTCAAACTCATTTGTAATAATTTTTCAAATGAAGATTTGCAATATATACCCAGTATTTACAATATATACCCAGTATTTGCAATATTTACCCAGTATTTGCCATATATACCCAGTATTTGCTATATATGCCCCGTATTTGCAATATATACGCATGATTTTTAATGTCACTGTATTTGGTCTAAAACAAATTTATAAGCAGATTTTGATTAATGCAAATTACAAAAAGTTCATTCTTTAACTCCTTAAGTGAATTTCCATGCAGGAAGTCCTTTGTGAAAACTCAGGAACTCATCAGAACAGTGTTACCTGATAGTGGCAAGGCAATATCAATCAATTCCCTTATATAGTTATCAAAGAAGTAAATGCTATGATCACCTTATGATTGTCATCTCTCTGACATGCAATATGAAGAGCAGTACGACCACCAATATTATCACCACGCTCTTCTAATTCCATACTTAACAGACTGACACTGTCATCTAATCCAGACTTTACTCTCATACCCATACTGCTTGGTGAAATGTCATCATCCTGTCATAAAAAGACATCCTTTCTCAATAATAGCTATAAATAGCAAGTGTACAATGAATGATACCCAATGTTTCACTTGACATGATTATTACTACCTCTGGAATATCTTCTTCTTGTGCCCTTGAATTTGGATCAGCCCCTGCTTCCAATAATAACTTAGTAATTTGTACACCTTCATCACCGGGAATAGCAGAGGCAATATTCAATGGAGTCAATCCACCTTTCTGTGAAAACAATGAATTACAAGTTTATATAGTTCTAAGAAAAATTCACTCAAGCTAATTTATTTTATGACCATTCTGACGATGTACACACCACCTCAATAGTTGTTTAGCAAACTTTTCCCAGACAATCTAGAACTGGTAATTAAATTCAGATATTGTGTAATAAAACACATCCCATATTACGTACATATTACGAGTACTCTTTGTCCCATCTCTATTTTGAACTCTTATTATTAATCTATTGTTCATCGACACAATGGAGTTAACTAATATATGCGAGCAGCATGCCTTTTTTCTGTTAACCAACACTTTTCTTCAGAATCACTAGTTTCACTAGATTTACCAGTTTCAGACTTTGTTTTCAAACATTTTCCTTTTTAAGAGACATTGTCAATGGTGACAAGAACTGGGACTGTAACAGTGTTCTTATATCTGGAAATTCATTCTACTGACTGAGCTAAGTAAGTATTTGATGATGGAATGCAACAATTATTGAATTAGTTCTGGTTTCTCATTCATATACTTACTTCTTCTGACAATCTAAATGTAGTAGCAGCTCCTTTTTCCAGTAAAACCTGAACTGCTTCTACATCTGCGGCTTTTATTGCAAAGAATACCACGGCCATCGGCACACATGATGCATTTGGGTCAGCACCACGCCGTAATAATAAACGTATGGTACTTTCCATATTCACATGGCTGTTAAAACAATATGTTTGGCATCAGAATTGAGACAAAAACAGTAAACAAAATCAGTTTAGTTTGGTGAGACAATATGCAAATAATAGATGCAGAAAAAAAATTATGATTATCACACACCAGTTGCTTGATCAACCAACTTAAGTCAATGTGGCATAACTGCAAACCATTTCACAAGAAGCAACTTTTCTAATTGAGCCAGGAAACTGTTGAAATCTCGGCACCTGGCAGACTGACACACATAAACATGCAAAACCACATACACTGATTAGCAAATTTAAGTTTCAATCTTATGTGCACCACTAGAAATGAAAACAACTGTACCACTTGCATAAGGAGGTCAGTACAACATGGCCACAGAATCAGAGCAGTTGGCTTAGTAATTTTGCAAGCAGTATTTGGGGTAACTAGCCAAGAAAAACCTGATATTAGCAGGCTGAACTCATTCTCAATCAAAGAAAGCTTAGAAAGAACTCCCGTGTGCTGAGAGTATTGGAGACACATTAAAAATTAATTCAAAATTACTTGAACTTGATATATTGATGGAAACGCAGAAAACTAATTATGCAAATAAGGTAACTAATATGAACAGATTTAAGGTAGAGATGCAGTTTATTTGTGAATTTCAATCAAAAATAGTTTTTTTCGTTTTTTATATAGATTTTTATCTAAAGAACATTCTGTGAAAATTTGACCAATGAATTCTTATTGGAACACCGTTAAAATTGCTGTTTATTTTCTGGTTAAAAATAAAAAACACTCACACGTGGCAATGTTTATGTCCAATTGCCTAATTTGCATGAGTAACCAAATAACAGGACCTTTGATTGACAATATGCAAATCGAGATTGTACGTGTCATAGTTCATTCAATTCACGCGCATGTGCAATTATTCTCAAATCAGTTCTCGCTCGCTAGCAAACCAAACATTATATTTCCTCAGCGTTTTTTCCTGATTTTTATCAATACATTATGCGTGGTTTGAAAAGAAAGAGAGGTAGAAAGAAGATTCAGATGATTTCTATGTCGGAAGAGGCAAAAGCTACACTGAAGGCATCAGCCCACCGAACGAAAAACAAAATCGATGTGAGCGTCCGGTGAGCGTCCAAACATGGCTTTCCCTGAAGGCATGAATCCGAGTTTCTGATTGACTGAGAGATTTTATTTTTAAATAATTGTTCTCAAAAAATAAACTGAGCATGTGAAGAATAATTTAACATTGTTTACAGTGATAACTGCTCATTGTCGAAACGAAGCTTACCCATTCACGCTAGTCACAATAAACATCATACTCTTGAATAGGCGTCAATGACTACGGTAAAACTTAGACTCTATTTTAGGCATCAGGAATGATTGAAATGTCCGAAAATGACGCCAAAATACACCTTAAAAGTCCCATTTTATTGTTTTTCTAAATCTCATCCCGAATTTACGGCAGAATCTGGTCCCTCAAATAAGGGACATGTGAGCTTTGATTCTAACCGGATATATTGCACTGGGTCGGGGAGATACAAACTTTTGTGTATCTTTTGTCCAATGGGTACCTGTACTTCGATCATTCGCAAGTTTTGCTAGGTGGTGCGAGACAGCTTTGTTTGCAACCGGACGAACTCCGTTTAATTCAATGAAGCAAACAACTGACAATGCTAAAATAAATTGCAGAGGTACGCTAAAATTAATTGAAAACAACCAAATAATTTCAATGAAAAATAAATCACAGAGAGAGGTAACTTGATACATTACGGTAACAACTCTTTTGACGCGCTGACCGCTTCTCCGCGTCTGATGTTTTTTTCCTTGTCATAATACTTACTGATTGATGATTTTGTTTTGATTTTTGAATTTTTTAGCCTGCAACTCGACCACGACCTTTGCTTTTTCCGTGAAAAATGGGTAAGTTTACGTCAATTTGACGGACATTCCATTTTATTTAAACTAACGAAGCACACTGTTTCGCACTCCTATTTTTTTCATTTGCCGATTTCTATTCAGAAAAATTCGACCGCTCGAAAATGCACCTTCATTTTGAACTTTTAAAACATGTCAGATTTCCAACACTAATTATTTAAAACCGGTCGAAATTTTAAAACTTTTACGTTAGGAGCTGGAGCTCTCTTCTTGCAGGCGACCGTCGCTGGTAGTACAACAGCATGTTTTGTACGACTGTCTTAGAAAATCCCTGAATAAGGCGTTGCCAAAATCGGAAAAATAAAAAAATGCCTCCATAAAAAACGAGCAGAATTCAAATATTTCTTTTAACAAATATGTTGCACTGGGAAAAATGGGATTGGAAACGATGAACAAAACTTCTGTGCCTCGTGTTTCGATTCTAGGATTACGCGATTATTCATTATTGTGCGTTCGCTTCCTGGAGTTGGTTCTCAATACTACATACAAATCATCAAGGATAAATAATTTAATATCCCACTTTGTACTCTTCACGGTAAACCATAGGCTCTGAAATACTCGTAGATTTTTTATTGAAAATACATCGAAGAGAAGCCATGATATTTTGATCGTGTGAAAAGGTCACCTTCCTAGGACCGCCCCCTGTTTAATAATTCATGAGATTACGTCATATTTACTGGGCATTGCCACGTGTTTTTACCGACCCCATCAAAACACTGGTATGAATGACGTGTTTCTGATTTATAAATTCAAGAGCAGTTGTTCTGGTCCAACGATTTTACATAAAATGTCTATGTCTATACGTTAACTTTCAATTTCAATAGTCTAGAAAGTATGACAAAGTATGACAAAGCAGTAATTTCCGGTTTAACGCGCAAATATGCAAATCAGCCTTTTTCTAGTCTTCTATTTTTGGTGAATTCTTGGGTTTTAAATTAAAATAGCTGATAGACGCTTTGGCCATTTGCCTCGAAATTTTCACACATTATTGACAAGGTGTTCCCCCTTCAAAATGCGTCCGGACAGTTTATTACGGCGAGTGGAACAAAAATAACAAGTCCGCGATTAACATGGATATATAAATTATGCAAAATAGAAAAAAGTGAACTTTGAGGTCATGCTGTGCGACTTTGAAAGCCGTTAGAGAGATGAGTGGACGCATTTGAATTAGTAGTATACCAGGTATCCAGTGATGTAATTTTACCCACAACGGACTTGAAGTTTTAAGCTAATTTTTTTAAACCACTTTTGCCCAAAAGCATATTTTGACCCAAATCAA